GCCACCTTTCCCTGCAACTTAATCATTTGCAGATCTTGCCATGGGGTGCGGACTGAGAAAGCTGGAAGACCCAGATGATAGCAGCCCTGGAAAAATCTTTTCTACATTGAAGAGACCACAAGTTGAAACAAAGACGGATTCTGCTTATGAATATGTATTACTGGATTTTACTTTAGAAGGTATCTTTTTATGTTACATATTTTCTATTCTGAGAAAGCAAGGAATAGGATTTAACTTAGTTCTATTCTGTTTGACTAACAGTAAATCTTAGATACTTTTATCAAAGCTAACCAAAACATAAGACTTTTATTTTGAAACACAAATAATGACGAAAGCCCTCACTTAGATAAAATTACAGTGGAAACTACTGAAGTATTTTTAACAACCAAACCCTCTTAATTACACAACTGTCCTTGTTAAGGAAGCTGGCTAAAAACTGTTAGAGATTTTTCCCAGTTTCCTGTGAGTCAGATACTGCCATCCGTACTCGCTTTGAATACTGGTAGTTTGAATTCAACGTGGTGGTTCAGAAAATACACTGTGCCTGAGCGTTAATTGAATAACAGTTTGTTTTTTTTAAATGTGCTCAACTTCCGAAAACAGGCTGTCATTGTCCTTGTTACTTTATGCAGAAGTAAGTCTGTTTTAGCTGAATACCAGGAGTAGCTTCCCCTCTTATGCCCACCACAGTCTCCTGATAGACGCTTACTAAAATATCTTACAGTTTCATCTTACTATTTTTTTCCAAATGCTTTACTCGTAGCTGTTGAATAGTCTTTTGAAATTGTGACTGAAATGAAGCAAAATCTATATGCGTAGCTGGAGGCAGACGGTACTCTGTGGGGTACTTCCTTCCCGAGGGTGTCCCGTCTCTAACAGAGCAACTCCCTGTTTTGCAAAGTTGAAAACATAAACAAGCCCAGATGGCTGCCCTCTGAGAACAGACAGCTCGGTTTAGCAGTCAGTTTATAGTAACTTGCATTTTAAAACAACCCAATCTACTGGAAGTTCTTAATAACAAGAATTTGAAGTAAATGCAATAGCTGGAAGGGTTTGATAAAGGGAGAAGGTTACTTTTTCAGGAACTTTTTCATAAACAAAACTTGGCCTGTGCTTAGTTTTAATTCTAAATTAAAGGACTGTAGTATTTTCTTTTTAAAATAATCAGTCTGTTTATTGAAAAACTGCAAGATACTAATATAAGCGACATTCTACTAAGTTACAGTACTTGACATCCAACTGTATCTGTTGTTCTGTTTGTTTACACATATAAGGACTTTTTCATTGGCTTATTGTTTCTGAAGAAACAAAACTTCATGCTGAGTAAGTAGTGGTGGCAATGTACTGGAAATCTAGGCTGCCTGATGCATTCAGGAATTACCTACTAATCTACTGGTAATAGAAAGGATAATAAAACTTGAGTTTTTGAGACTGAAGAGCATTTATTTTTCTTAAATAGTCTGTGTTCTGGATAGTTTTGCTGTATTTTAAAGCAACAAGTTTCTGGAAGTGTTGTGTAAATGATTTCTTGTAAAGATAGTTGTGACTTAAGAAAACGCACATCAAACAAATGCAAATAAAGGTGCATCTTTGCATTGTTTTAATTGATATTTTCCCTATCAGTACAGCAGTAAAGATTCATTTTCTCCTGTTCAGTCCGATATTCAGAAGTCCTCTAGCTTCAGTGACTTACTGTGGAATTATGAATGCTAAACAACACTGAGATCAGTTTTAGATAGTTGCCTAACTTTTTTAGGTTTCTAACTGTAAGCAGTTGGATTTGTAAACATAGGTATCTTTGTTCAATGATTCTAGCTCTGCATGTGTGTGTTTGACCTTAAAATATATTTTTGTTTGGTGTCTACTCTTTAGAGCTAAGAGCATGAATACTGAAAAGAAGTCAGTGTATATACTGTCTTTCTTGGAGGCATTTCTGATTTTTTTTTTTGTTTGCTTATGAGATGTGGGGACTGGCCAAAGTACTGTGGGGAAGATGTTGGGCTCTTTTTATTTTTCCTTCTACTCCAATCAACTCACTCACATACTTGTTGCTACTTGAATATCCTTTGGCTAAATGAAACCTAAGTGAGAACCGCTTATCGCTTTAGACAGAAGTTAGTTTTCACTCTGCTGTCAAGTTGAATGTTATGTCTTCATGGCACTCTGCTGATTTCTAGAGTAGGAACTTCCCCAACATCTGAGATTTCTATTTGCCTGAGTGATTTGTTAACACTGGACCTGGCACCAAGTAAAACAGAAAATCTGCACTTGGTATCCTTTATGAGATCCTACGGTAAACTGTCCTGCATTAAGATAAAAGTACAGCAAGCATAAATGTGTTACTCCAGTTTAATATGCCTTATTCTCTACTTCATGAGACCTATGCTATGTGAAGTTGAAATGGGCCTGCTGAGGAGACTTTCAGGAGTCCCTGATCTTCTCCCAAGCCATGGTGCAGATTAGGTCAACCATGTTGTAGTGTGAATTTGTTGGCTGGAGTCCCTGTGCGTCATAACTAGTTATCAGCAGCGTATCGTACCTTGACTTCTCCCCTCCTGGTCCCCAGAATACTCCTATCCCTACAGCAGAAATCATCAGCTTTGAGTTCCATGGAGATGGGTCTGCATCAGGAGAATCCCAAACAAGAAAATTACAGCCAGTCTTTTATTTTGATTGGATGGAACAGTAAAAGAAATGGAGCAGTGGACTCTAAAGCATAATTTTAAATGCCTGTCAAGGACTGTAAATTCTACAGCCTCAATCATGAGGCATATCTCAGTTACAAAACAGCTATTATTTTTTGAGGTCAGTTTAACCATAAGGTAGGGATAGTTTAAATACTCCTACTCATGCAAAATGCTTGTGCCTTTTCCACAGCGCTCTATTAGGGAAAAGAAGGAATATCGATGCAAGGGTATTTCACATCAGTCCCCCAAGATGACATGCTGTGAAGTTCTTGTCGCTCTGAATAACTGTATGAATATGTATGAAGTGGCTCTTTTGTCATCATCTCCAATATCGTGCATCTGAAGTTTACTCTACAACTAGCAAGTTAACTGTAGTTCTGTTATTTGTAAAAGTGTTTTGGCTACGTGTTGACAGCACATCAAGAAGGAAATTTCTTAATGAAAAATGGTTGAGATGTTTGCAAAATCAGTGAAGCGATGGTCACGTTGCTTGCGTTCCTGCTTTTTGGCTTGTGGGCTGTAAAGCAGTTATTTCTTCACTACGTATTTAATGTCTCTTGGATTTACTCTAAGTGGAATTATGGGATGGAGGCGTTACTAAGTAGGGCAAAATAGTCTGTGAAAGGGAGGGCTGTGATGTATTGTCTGCTTAAAAAACCCAAACAAACAAACAAAAAACACCCCACAAAAAAAACAACCAAAAAAACCAACCAAAACCACTGAGGTAGCACAAGGAAGTGCAACAACCCTATCCCTATGACTGAGACTGGCAGAATTTACATGAATAGGTTGAGTTCACTAGTTATCAGCAATAAACCATCAATATATATGTTAGTGATACTTTTGGTAGTGTGCATCTCACATGGTACATGTTATTTTGATTTCAGTAGTTTTTTTCTGAGCCATTAAGGACTCTTAAAGTAAGAGGCAAAGTGGGCCTCTTCATTTCTCCCTTTAGTAAAAGTTAGTGTTTAAAAGCATTTAGTTTAAGTGGTGCAAAACATTAGTTTCTTTTTTTTCTAAAAAAAAAAAAAAAGCCCTCCATGATGTACATACATCATTGTCCCCATTTTATGGTGGGAAAATAGTATAAAGATTGAACTCATGAACCACCAGAATTCTAATTGAGTTTATTAGAATAAAAGATTTTGGCAAACTAAAGATTCACATATCTGTGAGATGTGATATCATATCACATATCATGAGATATCACATATCATGGAAGAGATGCCATCCAGAGGGACCTTGATAGGCTTGAGAAATGGGCCAGTGCAAACTGCATGAGCTTCAACAAGTCAAAATGCAAGGTCCTTCACCTGGGTCGGACCAGTCCTAGGCACAAATACGAACTGGGCACAGAGTGGGTTGAGAGTAGCCCTGAAGAGAAGGATTTGGGGATGTTTATAGATGAGAAGCTCAACATGAGCCGGCCGTGCACTCGTGGCCCAGAAGGCCAACTGCATCCTGGGATGTATCAAGAGAAGAGTGGTCAGCAGGTCAAGAGAGGTGATTCTCCCTCTCTGCTCTGCTCTTGTGAGACCCCACCTCGAATACTGCGTCCAGTTCTGGTGTCCCCACCATAAGAGAGACATAGATTTGTTGGAGCGTGTTCAGAGGAGGGCCACAAAGATGATCCAGGGGCTGGAGCACCTCTGCTACAAGCCAGGTTGCGGGAGCTGGGATTGTTCAGCCTTGAAAAGAGAAGACTTCGGGGGGACCTAATAGCTGCCTTCCAATACCTGAAGGGAACCTACAGGAAGGCTGGGGAGGGACTTTTTACAAGAGTGTCCACTGACAGGACAAGGGGAAATGGGTTTAAGTTCCAGGAGAACAGATTTAGATTAGGTTTTAGGAAGAAATTCTTCAGTACGAGGGTGGTAAGACATTGGAATAAATTGCCCAGAGAAGTTGTGGATGCCCCTCCCTGGAGGTGTTCAAGGCCAGGTTGGACAGAGCCTTGAGTAGCCTGATCTAGTTGAGAGGCGTCCCTGCCCATGACAGTGAGGTTGGATTAGATGATCTCTGAGGTCCCTTCCAGCCTTATGCCATTCTATGATTTATGATACTTTAAACCTGTAGCATAGGTAGATTTTTATGTGTTGCTGTGTCTTTGATAAAAGTCTAAATTCCTCGCTATCACGCCTCTACCATATAGGACAGGTAGATCAGAGGATATGGGAAGGTGAAATTAACTCTAAGGAATACATTGGCAAGTGAGATTTAGGTCATTGCGTTTATCTGTACTTTTTTCTTTTACATTTTTTTTAAATTATAGAATCAAGAGAGAATTAGTGTATTTAACTGTTTAGAGTTTATTGTATTATTTGAAAGAAAATGTTTAAAGCAGCGTGTTACAGTGTTTGTATCTAAAAAAAAAGTGTTGAGGTCACTTAATTCCAATTGAGGCATCCTTTCATGCAGTTGAACGCTGGTCTTAATGCACTGGAAGTCTTGCAAAGAGAGGGACCTGTCGATACAGAAAGTGTCACTCGCAGCAAGAGTCACTGATAGCAACCATCAAATCACAAAAGCCTGTCTTGTCATAATAGCTCATGTGTGCAAAGGATGAAAATTTTGATGGTGGCAGATGTATGCTGGCAAAACTACTCCTCAGTTACTGTCTGAGTATTGGTTTCCTGCTTTGTGGAGGATCTCAGAGCTCCTGTGATTCCAGTTGGAGTTGAGGGGCACAGGAAATAGTAACTCGTTGGAGTGACTGTGGCAGAATATATCGTCTGTTACCAGTGAGGAATCTTCCTTTTCTCTCTGCAAAAGCTGTGCATCAGACCATTCAAAAAAAAGTTCTCCAAAAAGTTTTCCCTAGTTTCTGACAATAGCTGTGTAGAACCTACCTGTTGATCAGAACACACTCAGAGGGATCCTCCTTAGAAATCAGTGATGCTATGTAGCTTAATTAAATGACATTACTTAAATCTACTGGAAAAAGGAGTTAGGACTATGTTAAAGTTTCAACTGATAATCCACACATCACTAAGAGGTCCAAAAAAATATATTTGAGAAAAACAAACCAATTGTTCTAGGCTTAAATTCATTGTGTGGGAATTTCCCTCTCAACTAGGGTTGAAGGATACTGCTTTAGTGTGTTTAGGGCTTCAGCTAGAGGAAATAGTTGCTTTAAGTTCAGAACTACTGTGTATTTAGGTGTTGATGCAACTTCTAAATTTGCTTGGCAAAGCTAGGTCCAGCAGAAAATGTAGCCGAGTAGATTAAAAATAGATCGTATTAACTTCTAGAAATATGTGCTTCAACTAGTTGAATCAGCTGTGAATCTGCTTTTTCTTGTATAAATAGAACTGCAGCTTTTTAGTAAATGCCTTGGGATAGATTTTGTGTGATTTCTATAAAAGGAACTCACCCAGAAGTTTAGGGACATCCATAGTATAACGTGCTTCTCTTCTGCTTTCAATGCTTTTAGCTTCCTCAAATCCAGAAGTTATCAAGATCAGTTCTGTATTGGATATAGCATCTAAGGTGGAAGAGTATTACAGCAAAGGATATGTCGTAGGAGCCGTTCATCCTATTCTACTGCCAATTGGACGCAGAAGGAATTTCCCTGCAAGTCACATGTATCGAGTGGTACTTTCACGGTTAAAATTAAGGTAAGACTGAAATAGTTTGAATACATTTGAGTCCATTACTTAAGCCATCTGTAAGTGGATTGTTCAACATGCGTAATTTATTATCAAGTTGAAATGAGGACCTCAAAGAATCGAATAACTGTTCCTTGTCTAGAAAAGCGAGCAACTTGATAATGTTCTTTTAATTAAATGTCTAATGTTCACTTTGTATTTTTGTTTTGACATTTACTAAGGCAAAGTTGCTTATCATAATTTGTGGAAAGATAAATTATTACAGTTTACCCTTTTAATACTTTTTTTAATAAAGTATAATCTGCCTTAGAACCTGCAGCAAATATAGGATTAAACAAAACACTAGAAGAGTAATAAGGTGCTTTAAATTCTCTTTTGTCTGGTTTTTCTTCTTAATTTTCAAAACTTTTGTGTTTTCACTCTTCCCATAGGAGCATTATTTGGGGAAAATGATCGATAAAGTGTGAATTACTTAGTTTGTCAAAGATAGTTTATTTTTCCTTCACAAGAAGGAAGTAATCATTCTGTGATTGGAAGGGTGTACAAAAGCTTGGTTTTTGGCAGTGAAGGAAGAATGAAGAGCTTGAGTTTATGTTCCAGGTCCATAGTCTTGTTTATTACTCCTGGTTTAATCACCATGTTATCACAAAGAAAATGCAGAAAGAAATTTTACCATTAATTCCTTTGAATGCAGAGATGATCACCTTTTTTTCTTAATTTGAGTAACTAGAAAAGTGAATTTCTTTTTGCATTAAGAGTTGTCATGCTTCCCCCTTCTATCCTGAGTTCTAGTGTGGTGCACAAAGGTTCTTTCATTTTCCTTTGGAAGTCTGGAAGGGCATGAGTTGGAACATGCCTCCTGCCACTCCAGTAATGCTTCTGTAAAACACGGTTCATTTGAGGGAGCTTCTCAGATGCTTTGCTGAAACAAGCATTGCCCATGGTGTTTGTTGCTCGTATAACTGACCTTCTTAAATTCATCTGCAAACAAGGTGAATGTTGCCCATGTGTGCAAAAGCTGGAGGAAGAAAAGCTGAATGTTTGCTCTCTGGAATTGAGGCTTCTAAGAGCTGACACTGCCAGTGTGCAGCTCTCGCAACTCAGCTTTAGGCCCTTGAATAGATGAAGGACAAGAACCTGCAGCCTACATGTGAAACTGTTGAGCGTAGGTTCCTAATTTCCTATGCCATACCCACCTATGTTGGTTTTCTTATGGACCAATGCACCTTCTCTGGCTACTATCTGGAAAGTAACCTTTAGTATTTGAGCATGACTCATTGTTGGCTCGTTCTAAAGCAAAAGCTTGCGTGAAGGAAGCATCAAATAAAATCCTCTTATTACTGATACGCACCAAATATTCTTGTCTGAGTAATAACCTAACTGGCTTTAGATAAATCATGGTGAATACTATTCTTGAACTTTAAATGGAGGTTAAAGCTTGCAGATTCTCAAATCTGAGTCATTTAAACATTACCTAACCCAAAGTGATTCTTTTACTGCATTGTATTTCTGGTATTAGCCTGCACTGTATTTCATACAATAGCTGCAACTCTGCTTTAGTTACAAAAACTATAAACAGCAACACGTTGACAATGTGAAAATACCATTCGGTGTTTTCTGAAAAACTGATCCGCTGGTTTGTACTTGCTGTATTTATAGCTTAAATTTATATTTTTTGCATTATCAGAGATATTGGGGGTTACTTATTACAAAAGCAGGGCTGTGTGTCAATAAGGCTCAGTTTCCAAAAGATGTCTATTAACAGTCTTCAGATGAAATTCCTATTAATATTCTTATCCTGACATTGTAATACACAGTAGCTGCCACTTTGTGCAAGAAAGGGAGCAAAACACCTAAAACCCACCGAGTTCTGAATAAAAGTATGAAGAAATATTGCCAGGATTTCATTCATAACTATTCTAAAAGAAAAGAATTCTATCTGCAAGCACTTGCCCAAGTTAGCAGCGAACTACTGACAAAGACTGCTTTCTTTCTGTGTTCTAGCCAGAAGCATGCAGCACCCAGAGGACAAAGGCACCCCAGGCTGGTGATTGAGGAATGTCCTTTAATGTATGAAACACTGACAAATGAGGTAGTGAAAGAACTGTTAGAAAAGGTAATGGAGGGTTTTTTCGAACTTCTCTTCAGACTTTTATTTCTAACATACATGTAAGTTACAGATAATGGTTGATGTTTTTTTAGTTTTGAGTTTTTATCTTGGTTTATTTTGTTGAAACTACAAAGTCTTTTCTTATGCAAAGAGTTGTTTTTCTTCATTAGTTGCTTTTTCTAATTTGGGACTTAATAGTAAACCCTGTAAAACTTTGAGAAACTGGCCACTTACACCACAGAAAGCAGAATCAGGCCCAAACTCTCAGCCAGTCTTTATAAAATGCTTGTATGGTAGCTTTTTCTGGAATTAATATTTAAAAAAATCTGAAGTTTTATGTTCTGGTTAAGTAAAGTATTCCCAATGAACATGAGCATGTTTGATTTCTAAGAAAGACCTTTTCATTCCTTAACAGAAGTACAAAATACACAGTAACTGTATTAAATATTTACTTGGCACAGCTTTTGAAAATATTGTATAGTCAAAGAAAACTGAACTTCCACTGATATGCAAGCTCTAGTTCCAGTTCTTTTTGTGTTTAACTTCCTCTGCAAAATTGAAGACATACCGAAACAGGAAGCTATTGTTATTACAAGAGTTAGAGTGATATCTTTTACACTAGTTGCTAAGGAAAAAAGTAGAGGAAAAAGCATGTTGGAGATCTTTAATGGTCTTTGTAAATATCAGAGCTGTTTAAAATTTCTAAAAGGCTTGTTTTGAAACTTTCAGGTGTTTCAAATTTAAAATGGGATTCCATTACACACTTATTACTATATGTGTATTGAAATTAGCAGGTTGTCTTGCAAACAAATCCAGAACAGAAGTAGTATTTGAAAATAATTTGATTTTTAAAATGCTCTTAGTGTTTTAAAAAGACTGAGCCAGTAATCCAGTGTAAAATTACTACTTTTTTCTTTCTTTTAAAAAAAAAAAATATCTGAACCCAGAAGACTTTGTGGCATTTCAGGAAAAAGGGTTGTCATATTACCTCTTTTTCTGCATGTTGCTTGTCACATTTAAAATTATTTTGTTGTCTTAGAAGTAACAGCTCTATATAGTCACAGTAATTGGCATGTTGTATCATTGCTGTGCATACGTAATAGTGGTATAGTAACACTTCAGTCTATCATGGTCCTAAAAAGGGATTATAGTACTGTCAGCTATTTAAGTATTTTTCACTCTATTGATTAATAGTTTGCAAGTTAACTGGGTAGAGATCCTTCTATCTCTGCCCTTGCTAATCCAGTACTTCCCAGGCAATTTCTTCTGTCTGGGCTGGGATTTCTTTATCTTCCTGGAAATACTTTATTGCACTGTAGCACAAGATGGCAGCGGGATCACCTTCCCAAATGGCAGCACTCCTGATCTCAGCAAAAACCCCTCCCTCCAAGAACAGGCACGTGCCACAGGTGGCACATATTCTACACTTGTATTTTGAGGCTTCAGTGCAGAGAAAAAGACCCACCACTGGGTGAAAGCAGAGTTAAGAGGGGTTTAATTTGCTTTTAACTCCCTCCTTTCTCTGCTCCTTCACTAATCTCAGTAATAGTGAAGCTGAGTAGCCTCTAAGGGAACCAGGGGATAATAAATCATGACACATGGCAAATAGATATCTCCAGAGTATTAGTGATCAGTAATTTTAGTATGACTGAATTTTAGTATGACTGGTTTCACGTGTTCAGAGAAACAATACTATTTATTGCACCGGTGTACCACTTATCACTGCGACACAGCAAGTAAAATACTTTGGATTTGTTCTAAGTGAAGGGTTTTGTGTACACTGAAGTCAGTACCAGTGTTGGCCACCTTTCTTGGCCCGAGTCCAAAGACGTGCTGGAAGACTTCCATCTGCTTTGAAACATGGGCAGTGTACAAAGACAAGCCGCCCTTCTGTAAGAGAGTTGTCTTTATGTCCTTGAAAATCAGCAGTGTAGTTAAACAGAACTTGCATATACTAGGGTCTTTTTTTAAAAAGTTACATGTGATTCTAAAATCGCTTTGCAGATAAATTTATTTTGTAAATACAGGTTAACGAAGCTGCTAAAAGAGGAAAGAAGTTTGTTGGATTTGTAACACAACATTTTCCTCAACCTAAAGCCTGTAATGGAACAAGCACAGATGGAAGTGCAGAGCTGGAATCAACTCTGGGCAGAAGAAATAGGGAACACAGAAGAAACTCTGATGAAAACTATAAAAACTGGCATGAAGGGACACTGAGTGGTCACTCATCGGAGAGTGGAATAGAAGAAGAAATGCAAGGAGAAAGCGGTCTGTTACAGGATGCAGATTTCCAGTTTGGAAAAGAAGTCAGCCCTGTTAAACCACGAAAAGGAGACGGTAATAAATGCTGCTTATTTATTGCAGAAATAAGGTGTTTTATTGAGCTGTTGTTTTAGAAACGTGTTGGTAGAACAACCAGTAGAACATACTGTTCTGTTAATCAAATACTGGTTTTGAAAGATGCATCTTCCTTAAATGCATACATATTTCTAAAAAAGTTGTCAGTTGAGGAAACAGAAGCAATATTTACCTTCTGCTCCTATGTATATGTTCACATATACATAATACATAAAAATGGTATTTTAGTTTTCATACAGAATATTACAAATGTACTGTAAAAATTGTAGTTTGTAATTTAAAGAAAAAAGGAAAAACCAAACAACCCCCCAAAAATCACCCACTGTGTAATTCTGGTTTTAAATGTAGCGCAAACAAATAGCTTTTTTGCCTGATATGTGTCTTAATAAATATGTGGCAGTAAGTCTTTTCTTTTAGGATGCAATTGTTTTAAAACCTTTTCCTAAATGCGTGTAACTTTCACTTAATATTAAATCGTAAACATGTAACAAATCACCAAGAATGTTATCATCCCAGTCCTCCTGCCTGTTTCAAAACTGACAACAAAGAGATCCCCTTCCAGCTAGAGCTGCCGTTTTATGTGCTTCTAGCCGACTCACGTAACGTACAGCAAACAAATGCGTTCATAATGGATTCTTTCTAGTTAACATGCCTTCAAGAAGCTTCCTGAAAGAGATCACTTAAACTAACTCATTGACCATGAAATCAAAGAGGATACTTGTTACAAAATGAATTTTCACTAGAGAAAAGTAAGCATCAAAAAAAAATTTTATAAGAAGGGAAAATATCACAGGAGAAATGTTGATGCTGTGGTAGAAAACTTTGTTGTAGAGGAATCTGAGATACTTGGTGTAGTCTGTGTGAGAGATTTCCTGAAACAGTGACCTCGGATTCTGAAGAGCTAAGGCCTCCTGGTTTGCTAGGAAGGAAAGGTGAAAAGGAAGAAGTTACCTAAAGCACGAGAACTGATGCAATGTAGTATTGTGTAGAAAGCAGGCAGCCTGAAACCCTCATGTCAGTTTTGACATAATAGACACTACTCTTCTGGGCCAAACACGTTTTAATTGCTCTCAAAAGCAACCTTTTCATTTTCCTGTTAAGAGTTATGCATCCTCTCCAGTTTGTAGATTGTCAGGATAATGACTCCGAGTTCCTCTTATTTTTAACACTTGAATCAAAGCAGTTCTTGTACAACTGTGCTGGGCCTTTATAGCAGCATCTGTTAAAGCTTAACTCTTTCCTTTCAGCTTGAAATAGTGAGTTTGCTATATGTAGCAGAATATAAATCTTGTGAGTAAAGAGCAGAAAACTCTTGGTTCTGTTAAGGAGCCTTGTGCAGACTGGTGTGACCAGGTAGATCAGCAACCGGTGTGTCCCCTATATGCTGTATTCTCAGGAAAGTCTTCAAAAAGCTTTGGCAAGAGTATGTCAGGCTTCTCTACTACTAGTCAAATACTCAGTAAAGCGTTGGAGCTCTTAAGACAAAACTCAGGAAAACTTAACCACCTTTCTTTGTAAATGTTGTATGTAACCATCATTTTAAAAAAACACCTATGTGAATTTTCAAAGAAAGTCCTACATGCATCAAGGTATGTACTGGCACTTCTGTATGCCACTTCTATTTAGGTCTGCTCAAAAGATCCAAAACTGTGTCTGAGTTCTAGATTTGGAGGTCATAATGTAAGCATTTTGGCTATAAATATACCCCTTGCAGAGGCAAACTTCTGATACAGGTGAGCAATTGAATAGTTGTATCGAGAAACTAGATTATTTTTTTTCCAGAAGAACAAATATGAAAGTGATCTCACTTTAGTATACAGGAAAGGAAACTAAAGTTTGCCAGAATGAACACGTTTATGCTAATAGAGCCACGTGTGGAGGTGAGAAAATAAAACTGTAGAGAAAGGAGAGTCATCTCTTACTGGTAAATTCAGGACAAAGTTTTGAACTCGACTCTACCTTATTCCAGGCACCTGCTGTTACTCGCAGTGAGTGTGGTAAGGCCTCTCGAAACAGAGAGAGGTTCTCCCAGAGACTGATTCAGACTATGTACAGTCCAAATCCTCCTTTGGAAATCTGCCTCTGTTCCTGGAGCCTAGAGAGACTAGCGTCTTAAGTGGGGTCATCTGAACCAAGTTCCTTTGTTTTGGCAATGTGAATACTTCTGCTTTCTAGGGGTTGGTTTGGGTTGATTTAGGCTCCTCAGATGTTGAAGTGTTAGACTATCTGAGAGCATTTTTTTGGCAACTGCTTTGTGTTTTTTCTCCCCAGCAGTGACATACATGTGAGTGTTTATACAATACACTTATATAGCTAGGACTTCATAATTTTCACTGGTGATTTCCTAAAACACTATGGATTTGTGGATTTTAATTTCTGATGAATGCTTATTTATGACTCTGTTTTTGTTTCAGCACTTTATTAATGCCTAGGTATGAAAAGCATTTGAGGATATGCATAAGCTCATCAGTTACTGTGTGGGAAACCCCAGTACGCAACTGATTATACCAGTACTTAAGTAATCCTCAGAAAATGATGAGGAAACATCAATACTGTGCAAGGCATTCCTAATATTTAAAAACTTAGAAAATTGTCTTTAATCTTCAGTTGCAATAATTAAAAATATTTGTAGTCAAAGTTTCATGAATAGCAGAAATAAACCCTATTTTCATTGGGTTTTTCTTAACTCTGGTATATCTCTTCTACGCAAAACTCACCTAAAAGGTCCAACTGTAATATGTTCAAATTTTTCTGATATCTCACAGCATACCCCCCTCACACCTGGTTCTGAGTGTGTTTAGGGCTTAAGCTGAGTTAGTCACATAGGAAACAATTCTTAAAACTGTTGCTTAGAATTAGAAAACCATGTTGAAATAAGAAACTAATATTATTTTTATTTCAGAGCACTTCCAGAGGTTCATTTTTCTTCCTTTTTTTTTTTTCCTTAGATAAGCTGTATACAGTCTTCAATGTTTTTGATGATGATTCTACCTGCTGGACCTATCATGAAGGTGTTTTGTCTATGAAAGTAACAAGAAAGGGGCCAGTTATTAGTACACTGGAAGCAGACTGGCTAGAATTAACTACATTTTATCATAAACAAGGATTGTCCTTAATTGATTCTTTTGTACACTGGGAAACTTCTAAAGGTGAGTACTGTTCTAGGATTTCATGAAGCTTGTACTTGTTTTAGTAGAACTACATACTTTTCAAAAAATAGATTCTGTTTTGCTTCTTGGTGTGAAGGACAATATGTAAACATGTTCAGATGGTCATTGTAAACTTTAGAATCTGATATTTAAAAAGGGAATAACTTGTTTTCTGGGCAGTTATAGCTCTGAATAATTGAAATTTCTGCTTTGTTTTATTAAATTGGGGATTTCCAAAGCAGGAAAGAAGTGTAGCATTATAATGAAATAAACCTTCTGTGCTACTTCCTTTTTTTTTTTTTAAAAAAGGAAAAGATAATGGGGGGAGGGGGGGAATCATTAGATACATGTTTCCCTGATGTTTGCATTCTGTTGCTAACTGTAGATACTGTCCTGCACTCTCTTGAATATTTCTGACGAGACAAGAGAGTGCCTTGGGTTCTCATTGTGCTTACTCTACCCTTAAATCTAAGTCAGGCTTTCCACACTTCTTGGTTTTTCAAGCTCTTTGGGCTTAAAAATTCTTTCTGCAACACCAAACTGCATTAAAATTCAGCTGTTGATCCTAAAGTTCAGGATGTTTTTGCAGGTTGCTCTGGTCAGACGTGGACATATGCAGACATATGCAGAGAGTAAAGAAACATGATTTTTGTCCTGGCCCTCAACTGTAGGCAGATCTTCCAGGACCTTTTCACATACTGGGAGGGAGGTCTTCCCTGGTCCCTCCCATTTCTTGCACTCTTCTGCAGGAAACGACCAGTTCAGTTAACACTCAAATTGCTACAATGAAAGAGTACCACAGGGTTGTCAAATTTTCTTCTTCATTCTGCCAGTTTGAGTTCTATCTCCAGTTTTCATTCTGGAGAGGTCTTACTAGGTCTTTCAGAGTTCTGAGCCATCATCCTGCTCATGAATAGACACAAGCCCAGTGTCAGCAGGGCTGCTGCTGGTGCAGGTAGTGAGATTTGTTTCCATTTGAACTGAATTTGTCTGAAAGCCAGAAATTAGAAGCGTTGCAAAAAATAGTATGTAGGTAGTGTTATGCAATTACTTGAAAATAATATGAAGAAAAACAGTAGTACTGTAGTGTTAGGGGAGCAGACCAAAAGAGTCTGACATAGTTAATTGTTTCAGAATTTATTGATTATTGTAATAAATGGTGTTTGATAGCAAGCTTAGAATTTATACTTCACTAATGTGATATTTTGTCTTTGGTTGGATCTGTTCATGGCTTGCTTGTACTAAGTTGTTGGTGTTCCTTCAGAATTGCTTATGGCAGTTCAGTGTAAGCAAGCAAAACACAGGGCTGCAGTGGAGAAGTGTCTTGTAAAAAGTTTGTTAAAAAGGTTTCTGAGACCTTAAATGATTTTTGAGATATCAAGTGCAGTAGTTTACTTAAAATAATGTATTGAAGTGACTTTCATAAGTTATTTTGTGTGCTTCTTATATAGATTATACAAAGAGGGTAGAATTTCTGGGGTTTTGAGTAGTTTTTGTATTTACTATATGCTTTATTTAATGCTTTTTTTACTGAGATTCTGATTTAAAATAATATGCATTCAGCATCCCCTTCATGAGGCCTGGATTAGTGAAGGTCTTCAATTGAAACAAAAAGAAGTTTAAAACATTTAAAAATCTTCGGAAGTTAGATGATGTGAGTTCTTCAAAAAATCAAACCCTGAAAATGAGAACTCAGTTTTTGCTGTTCTCAGTAGCTTAGTTTTGCGTGTGAATCAGTACATTTCTGTAGCTCTGCAATAAAGTAAACTTAGTGATTGTCAGAGGAACCCAAGAGCCTCAACATCACTATATTTATTTACCTCTGATTGGATGTGGCAGCTCGTCTCTCTCTGACTGCATATTTTGTGTGCATAAACAGTTTAATGGCGCAGTTTGTATTGGCCATCTCTTTTGCACTTAAACTGTAATTCCTATCTGTTGAAGTCAGTGGAAGAACAAAGTTTCGTTTGGGGGAGGAGAGGTGAGAAATCAGACTCCTAGTTTTCAGTACAGACTTTTTTAGAGCTGGAAAAATAACTCTCTGGAGATACGTTACAATTCACTGAGGAGAGTTTTTGGCAGCTGTTGAAATTAATCTTTGCAGCTGTTGTCCAGCAAGTTTTGCAGTTTTCCCATTCCCTTGTAGCCATCTGCTCTTCTCTGTATGATTAAGGATCCCGTCTTTAATGCCCAGGTTATGACTTATTTAGGGTTTCTTGCTGCCTTGTTGCAGCAGTTGGTGCTTCTGCTTCAGCCTCACTTGGCTGGTATGTGTTAGTTAGACTTGTGGGTGGAGCGCTGCTGAATTGAACTGGGTATATTGGAAGGCACAGCTCATTATGTGGATGGAATTCTGTGGCTGATCAAGTGTCTGTAACCACAGTAAGAAATTAATTTAGCTACTGCATTCTTAAGTTGAAATGTTTGTTCTTGAGGCGAACATTGAAGAGATTTATAACCAGGCAAAAGCTTGGCATCCTACAGAGAGAAACCTACAAATGATTTTTTGGGGAGAAAAAGTTTTTAAGCGCTTGTAATCATTACTAAAATTACTTGTATTTCTGTATGTACATCTAATTGTTCTCTTCACCTCACTTTTGTTTGCTTTTAAACTGTGAAGTGTCTTTAGCACTAGTTGTCCTTTTATACAGCTTTAGTGAAATGAGCAGACTTTAGCTATTGTTTTAATAGAAATGAAAACTCCAGATAGAAGGCAGACAGCTGCAGAAGTCCTGCTCTGGTTTAGGCTCTACAGATGTTTTGCAGAGTCAGCAGAATTCTGTTGCTACCAGGATCAAAATGCAATACCCAATTTAAGACAAGAGGAACTATTAACATAAAAAGGACTAAAAAAATAAAACCCAAACCAAAAAAACACAAATAAACAAACCCCCACTGTCAATTCTTAATAATTACCAGCTTTTGTGTTCTGCTGCTCAAACTACATAAATCTGCTACATGCAATGCAGTAAAAAATAGCATGAATAAATAGTTGGTATTTTATGGTACATTAATAAGCATGCTCAAAAAACGGGAATTCCTGGTTTAAGCAGCACAACATTTGTGCCAATCTGGCTGATTTTTTTTGAAACCAGACCAGTTAGGTTCTGTAAGTTTTCTTTGTTTGCTAGGTGTTTTTTTCTTTGTCTTTCCTGAAGCTGTGGCGAAAAAGAATCGTCTCCTTAAATGTTTTTGTGCAATATTGGAGAGGATTTAAATCTGATGTTAAGGATTGCATGACCTTACTGTTCAAATTGAGTTGAAGATAGTCAGCTGACAAGGTACATCTGCACAAAAGGCTTCCTGGTGGCTCTTAAGAGAAGGAAAACCGGAAAATGAACCGGTATTTGATGCACAGCTTTCATTTGGGCCAACAGGATACTGTGAGACTTCGACAAGTGAGTCAGGGAGTTGTGGTCTGAAACTTCCTTCCCATCAGGAATCTTCCTACAATTACTTCTGTTTCAGGCTCTTCCTGTGGCCATTTACATATTTATTTAACTAACAGTAGCTAGGCTTTGCACTTCGTGCTTCGTTTGTCTTTGTGCTTCTCCCACCACACCAAAAGCCGCGTTTATTTTCAGGCAAACAACATTGCAGTTGAATAGAGAGAGTGTGTGCCCATCTGCTGCAGGGGATATGTTGAATACAGGAAACTGGAGTTCATATTTAAGCACAGAAGTGGCCGATGCTTTTGAGAAAATGAAATGGTTCATATTCAATTGGTATAGAAAAAAAGAGTTTGAATAATAAGTTGACTTGCATACTTCATCATGTTGTAACTAGACGCAGAAGTAACCAAGTGACCACAGATTTGAGTTATTTGCTGCCTCAGTTCTTTTCTCATTGGACAGTCCTTTAAAATGAAATAAGAAGCCCATGTGAATGTCTTAGTAAGATATCAACCTAAAACTTCGTATTTCAGTTTATATTTGTCTTTGTGTTCACAGGGGACTATTTGCCCAAATCTTTAGAAGGATTATTTATCTACGAAGAAGAAGGTGCTGGGGTTCCAGGTTCTAACAGAAAAGGAAATGATGCAATAGTTGTTGAACAATGGACAGTCATTGAGGTAAATTTGGTGATTATTTAGCAATGCAATTTCCTACTTATAGTTTTCTTTGTTTTTTCCTTAGAATGCTTGTTACCAGTGTTTGATAAACATTCAGGATGCTTTCTTGAAGCCACCTGCATATGCTGAACTAAAGCCTTGAATCATAAACACAAAGTCAGGCCTGTAGCCATTGGTCAATGTGCATAAAAGAAATATGCCACAGGGCTTCTGGCCTGACATTTGCAAATGTTCATACCAACAAATACAACCACTGAAGAAAATGTTTTTTCAACATTTAGACATAGTTTCAGCAAGTGCAGCTCCACTGACAATGTGCTGAAGTATTTCTAAATAAAGGGGAATAGCAGAAACTAGAAACAGAACTAGAAAAAATTGATAGAGAATTAATTGAGTATGGTTTTCAGTTGCATATTCTTAGTGAAATTTTACTGGTAAATATGAAAGACTTCATTTTTTCTAGTAAACTTACATGTACTACTGTAGCATGATACAGCAATAAAATTATTAAATGTTTTTAATATTTTAATGTTATAAGGTTATTGGTATGAATTAATGACATCTGAAAGTAACATTGTTGGAGGATACTAAGGGCTTACTTTTGAAATATTCAATGATAAATACATTTACAAATGTGAAAAGAAGCAGCATAAAACTAAGACCTTGTATATTTGAGAGAAAAAAAAAAAGAACCAACCAAAAGGAAAACAACTACCAAGCCCCAAAAACTGAAGTATACTAGGTGAGATGCTTATTATTCAGATATGAAGTAAACGCCTAAATACATTAATTGACAGTATTATGGTGTTTAAGAAGTTTTAGGCATTAATTTAGCAACATGACAACTGTAACAAGCAAGATGTGCTTTAAATATCTTGCTGAATCAGGCTCGTACCTGAAGTTATTATGTTCTGTTTTCCTAGTCTTCTGTAGTCTTGAACGTTACAAAATGTTTTCAATTTGTAATAGCAAATCTCCACCAAACAACAAAGTTTAATGTCATCTCAAGGACATTATCTCAAAGGATTGTCTCATTATAAATGAGAAGAGAGTCATTGTTATTTGTGTAGAAATGCAAATAAAACCTGTACAGAGTCTCTTTACTACTTTTTATAATTATTAATGTAGGGATGTGAAATTAAAACAGATTATGGACCTTTATTGCACACGTTGGCTGAGTTTGGATGGCTCCTGACCTGTGTCCTGCCTACACCTATCGTACGACATGACAGGTACCCAAACAAAAGATGACAGTGTTTTTGGTGTATGCATCTCAGAATTTTCAAGTCATTGCTTGCATATTTAAATGTAAAAGGAAGAAAAATAAGAAAAATGCTAATTATGTTAACTGCATGTAAAACTGGAGATAAGTAGCATTATGGTGGAATCTTTTTTTACCCCAGTGTTTTAGGACTGCTGACTTCAGTGAGTTTCAAACTAGACCAATAATCCTAAATTTAAAATGTTGTTTATATCTAAACATTAAAGACTTTATTTGGGAAACTTTTTTCGCATACCCAGTCCTTGCCAATGGGACAGCAATGGGATTACTCATATGCTTCAAGTTTAAACAAGTGTTGAAATGTTTCACTAATTCAGGACCTTGGTGAATGACTGGTTTAGACTATATAAGAAGTCATGTTGTCACAAGGCAGTCATGCAGTATTTATTGCAAATTAGGGAGGAGAATGTGCTAATCCAGCAAGCTGTTGGGCTGTTTCTCCTCTTTAATATAGGCACTATATTTTATTTAAAATATGTTACCAAACTACTGGATTTTAGTTCTCTTGTAATATTTATTTAGATGACTGAGGAGGCTCTATATGCATAACGAGCTAAATAGCAGACCTGGATACCCTGTAAGGTAGCAAAAAAAAGTACTGTGCTTTTCTTCCTGGTATGAAGCTAAAAAAAAACCACAGCAAGACACACTGACATATGCATGCACCTCTTTTCTCTCTGGTTTTTGGTTGTGGGGTTTTTAAGATTCTCCTTCCATTAGATTAAGATTGCCAAGGTTTGAAAACAAACAAATGTACTGAGGCATGGCTTAGGGCTCATCAAGAACAAGGGAAAAGCTGAGTAATCTTTGGATCCAGACCTCACTGTATTAAAGCAAGAGAGCATGAAAAAAGATGTGAATGAAAGGTTCTAAAATTGCTCCAAGAAAGTAGAACATAAGTGATGTGACATAAGTAAAGCAACTCACCCGTGTGAGATGGAGGTTTTTCTGGTCAGGAAGTAGGTGCTAGGTTTTTTTTGGCTGTGTGTTTATTAATAGTTGATTTTAACCAGCTGGTTAAATGCAAAGACAGAAGAAATTGTAGTAAAACGATATGGTACATTCTGCTTTTTTTTAAGGGTCTCTGTATGTGGTGTTTTCTTCCGAAATTTATGAAATTCTGGACTTGTAAAGCTCCTACACCAGAGAGCAGTTTTGAGAGCATGAAACAAAATGGTTATCCCTTAATGCATTTCTTCAACCAAAATTTTGTAGCCTGAGCATTATTAGCTTTGAACATGGTGACTTGTAAGAGTATGTCAACCACTGAGCCTGGTTTTCATAAGCAGTTGACGTTTTTGGTCAAATCTTAAAGCTTGAGAGTAAGCCTTCAGGATCCAGATCTACGTCTTGAAGGATGTGAATGGAGAATGGGAGAGAAAGATTTGAGTAGTCATAGTGCACTGTGGGTGGTAGGATGGAAGAGAGCTTTTAACCTCAAACTTTTGTCCTGTAAACAGTGTAATTGTACCCATCCCTGTAGGGTTTGGGCAGCAAGGACAAGATTGTCCTGAGCAGCTGCTGGTCAAGCACTGTAAGTAACAGTCTGTGCTTGCAACAGGCAAAATGATGCTGTTTTGTACCTTGTAGCTTGCAGGGCCATTTAAAAGAAGCTAAGTGCTATAAGGGGAAAAAAAATAGGAAAATGTGCTGTAGGAAGTGCGAACAGATTCATTAGAATGGACCTGTTCTGTGAACTAATAAGAAAGTAACAGACCAGCAAGATGTTGAAGGTTGTACTAGACATCTGAAGTAGCATTGCTTCCTAGATGTGAATCAACTGGCCCAGTAATAGCTGTGGTCATGCAAAAGTGAGTTGTAACCTGGTCAGATCTGAAGTTTGATTCATTTTGTATCAATACTAGAATAACTCAGACTAATAAAAAGTGTTTTATTTCTGTTCTAAAAGTTTGGGTAGGTGTCTGCATGACTTGGCTAATACTCGTTGTCCCAGTGTAGCTTGTGAGATTCTTTTAGAAGAAATAGGATAAATCATGTTTTGTGTGCCTGTTGTGTATCTAATATTCAGTTTTCTTTAAAAAAAAAAAACAACCAATGAATAAGAACTGCTAATTAGGAATTAAGACTTCTTAAGAGTCAAAAAAAAAATGTGTTTCTATCCTGATAGACTAAGTAGTGATTGATAAATACTATTTTTAGGCATTGATGTTAGTATTTAAAAAGGAGAAGAAATTCCTGGATGGTTACTATGTGTCCAATAGGAAAGATGCCATTACTGTGGTGGTGAATTATCCTAGGAATGCAAGTTAAATGTTTCAGTGAAGATGGACACTTTATGCTGATGAACAGCTGTTCTTTTCCCAGACTTGGAACTCTGACCTCAAAACCCAGCCTGAATATTAACAGGCTTCAGAAACACTGAACAAGCAAAGTGAGTAACATTTTGAGATGATCTGGTAAATTCATGTTTTCAAATTTTTTTTTTAAAAAAAAGGGAGAATTTGGACAAAGTATTATAAAGAAAATTCTACTTAAGAATAAAATGTTAGTAGGGTGGCCGGCTCCCCATTTTTATTCACCTTTATATTTTGGTCTAGTCTCTATTTTCCTCTTCTCCTAACTTACCGCAAAACTTTCCCTCATCTCAGATCATCTGTGATCTGTTCCTAACCATTATGCCCACTGCTTGTCTGCAGACGAAGAGTGTGACCAGCAACAGGCTAACAGGTCCTGGGGTCCTATTTTTGGTTTTCACATGGTTAGGATTTGAAACAGCTTAAAAACCACCAGGCTGTAACGTCCGTTCCTGCGTGGTATTGTTGTTGGCTGAAGCTTCTTTTTTTTTAACAGAAGCTCCTCTCTATAAAATGAAATGTCCTATTGCATGGAGTGTCATACCATGCGGTAGCTGGATGTCATGGATCCCTGTCCCATTTCAGGCAGGGACAGCAGCGCTCTGTGGACTCGTTTAGTCCTTTAACTCCTACCAAAAAGGCTAAGCCATGTTAGATGCAGGAAATGTTTCCTTGAGAAATGTTATCAATGGAGCTGTTAAAAATGGAGCAATGGTAGATGTCATATTCTTACATATTCTGTCAAATGTGCAGAGTTGCTTTTGTTTGCACTGTTTTTTAGAGAGGAAAAAAAAAGCACTGTAGGTTTTGGAGGGAGGGTTTTGTGGTTAGCACATTATAAATCCTACAGAAGTTCTCTTCTGTCAGTGATTCTCTTCCCAGGGAGATAAGAAAATGTCCACGTGATGCAATGTTTGCTGTATCCATTCATATCTTGGGTATTTAAAATTTGTCAGCAGTCACTAAAGAGTTGTTTTGACCAAAAAGGAGCACAAAAGAATATAAGAAAGACCCAGAAATAATATTAGTGACCCAAAGAGCCTCCAGTATTACATACAACTCCTAAGTTATCTAGACAAGAATTTGACAGTAATTAAGCGAAGTTCTGAAGTTATATAGCAAGGATAAAATTATTAGTCCTTGTAGGAGTTAAATCTAGTGATTGGGAGGGAAAAAAAAGTTAGAAAATACTTTCCTGGTAACTTAATGTTACTGCAGTTACTGATATGATACTGTAATGAGTTTGTAGAATTTTGTACATATTTGGTTTAAAATTAGAATTATTTCTAAGGTTTTTATAATTTTTTCGTTAAACAGATCCTTAAAGCCAGGAGACTTATCCCAAGCTGGTGTCTGTCTCGTAACTGAAAGTCTGGAGCTGTGCAGTTCCAAAGGAGTGCAAAACTATCTTGGGAAATCAAAAAAAAAAAAGGATTTAAAGAATTTATTATCTTGCTCCGTTTGTTCATTTTTCAGAAAACTGTCTAACCTTAAGTGCTTTGTATATAAAATGTTCATATGTAAAAAAAAAGACCTGCAAAAATCAGAGCCATTGGCAGTACTAGTCAGCTTCTAGCTTGATGATTGTTTGGAGGACTTATTAAATATATGCCTGTAATAAGAGGATGATTTCATTGCCCATACAGCCTAAGCAGACAAGCAAATTGCTGGTGTTTTAACAATAGAGTCTCTGTTACTCTTCATCCCTCTTAAAAGAAGAGACAGGGAAAAGGCTTCAGCAGCCTTACTCTGCAGTGGCCTTTATTTCCCCTCACTGATTACCGTGTCCCTGAAAACGGGCAAGGCACTCTGTGAGCACCGGAAAGCAGGCGGGCAAACGCAGTGCAAGAACACTGACCTTGTGGTTATTAATTTGTCACGACAAACTACGTGATCCAAGTTCTCAAAATGCCCTGTCTCATGAGGCAAAGATGGAATGTGGAAATATGAGGGAAGCTATGGAGTGGCTTGCTCTAAGCACTTCCTCATTTAAATTCTGTGGAAATCCCACTGTCATTGAGTTCTCCGTGAATTAAGCTCATAGCTGCTTTGCCGTGTGTGGCATTTTAATAAGGTCAGACTTAGAAAATTGTTAATTTACTTATTGTCTGCTCAACATCATGTCCTTTCTCTGTTCTAGTAGAATTTGTACAAGCTGTATCTTAACGTTTGGGTTTCTTCTTTTCTCTGAAGGAATGCAGACACTGTTACAAAATAAGCCGTAGGCTCTTCCCGATGCCAGGGACTCTGCTCAGCCTTCTCGCTTAAGAGAGATTTCCCAATTGATATTATCCAAACAGACATAACTGAGGCAGAGAGAAATACCTAGCCAAGTGGAATAAGGTTGCAAGATTGCTGATTTGCTTGTCATGACATAAAATTGTAACATGTTTTCTTTAATTACTGCAAGTAGTGAGGTTGGGACTCTCAGAGCAGGAAGCCTTATTAACTTCAGGAAACTAAGGAGTTAGTTCTCCTGCCTCCTTGTGTTCCCTAAAAGCTGGAGTTTAAGACAATCCTCTGTTCTCGTCCAAGGAAGGCATGCAAAGATATGCCATGACCTGAATTCAGCTGGACTGAAAGGAAGATCATGAGGTGCCAAACACTATCACAAAACCATCTTCACTGACTATCGATCAGATATACACTGGGAATAGTGGTGTTTTCTGTGTTTTATCAGGCTTACTTTTAAGAGCTCTACTGGGGCAGGCTGTTAACAAGCTTTTCCTGATCTCATGGAAACAGTTTTAATCCCGGATTTTTCTTGGAGCAAGTCCCTAATGTTAAAAATCAATTAATTCTGTCAGTCCTAGCCCTGGCATGAAATGTGAAACAGTTATCTCAACTTTGTGTATGGTTGTTAAGATTGTGACGTACCCATACTGAAGTACAAGCTTACATTATTTTAATAGCTCTTTCCATAATGTTGTGCATAATAGTACTGTTTTATCTTTGATAGAATAGGTAGAATCATAGATATTTAAATGAACTCATTACATTTCTCCCTAATGTTTCTATTTTGCTACTTTTCTTATGCTCTTAAATCTGTAGTCACTCTTCTGCCGAAGTATTTAATTGTCTTTCCTTTATATGTATGAAGATCTCATTGAACACAGTCCAGAAGGAACAGTTGGGAGTAGAAGAAGAGTTTATCAAAATGTAGTATCTGATATTTAGAAGAGCACAGGAATTTTTTAAACCCTCCCATCCTAGAGCAATTCTCGCACTGTTTCCGTGCTGCAGAGTTGGCCTTTGTAGTACATAATGCAATCAACGTACTGACCTGTATTTCTGATGGAAAAGTGATGTAAAGAAATAAAAACTTTAAGAGGAAGTATCATCCGTACTAAAAGAGTGCAACACTTTTGAAACTTTTTCCCCCCGTCCCCTTCTTTATTTATCTTTCTACTTTATTCTCTTGTCCTTCCTGCACATGTCCGTCCCATTACAAAACAGCCAGTGTCATTTATGTCATTGTGGATGTGGAGCTTATAAAAACTGAGCTGAGTCGTTTTATCCATAGGTGGTGAGAAAGCAAGTTTACTCTGCTGTGGCAGTTAGATGCCATGTTACAATCAAAAAACACCTTTTAGTTAGTGGTAAAGAATGTTACTTCCCAAGTTTCATACCACAGAGGTCATTTATTGAAGCTGTGGATCTATTGAGATTGGGTCTATTTGTTATGGAGTTAACAAGTAGTAATATGTTGCTGTACGTTTGACAGTGAAGATTAGATGAAAGAAGGACTCAGGTTAATTTCAGACATAAAGGTACAGACTTTGATTAAAAGTAGGAGCTCTGGTATTTAAACTTTCAAGAGTAGTCACGTTAAAGAATGCTAATCATAGTAACAGAAATTTTTGTTCTGTACGTATTTTTATGTGCAACACCTTAACCCAGCTCTGTGCTTCTATTTCTTCTTTCAATGTGATTTCTCACTCATGGACTTACGTATGTACAACTTACAGTTGACTCTAAAAGGTATGAACATGCTACAGTGACTATTATTGCCTTTAAAATATTGAAACAATTTTCTTTCCATTTTAGTGAAGGAAATCTGGCCACAAAGCAAGTCGTTTTTCTTCAGAGGCCTGTTATGTGGAATTCTGCTGTCCAGACACCAGAGGCAAGTGATGTATTTATGTTATGAATGCAAACAAGTTAGTGCTTCACATAATGGGTAGGTACAGTCACAAACTAGACTTCAAAATTAATGGGAAAATGGCGGTAGAAGAGGATTTCACTTGAAACAGCTTCAAGCTTGTGGATGCTTTTGCACCTGTTATTTTTTTTCCTCAGCCATATGCACTTTTAAATTAAGCCATAGAGAAAAGCATAGGTATACTAAGAAATTTCTGTCTCAGGTGGATGAGGTTGACTGTGCTGTAAGTATTTATTTAGAAATCGTCAAGAAGTCTTAAATGTTGTGATTAAAATTCTGGATCTGTTGCACATAAAAAAGAACATTTTGTTTTCAAGGGCAACAAGAAAAACTTCCATAGATA